AAAAATATTTTGATATGGAACGAACCGCTTTACACTATCAAGGAGAAAATTGCCAAAACTCAATGCAATTTTTAGCAACTTCAATCTAGCACTTTGCTATACTAAAATTAATTTTTTTAGAGTCCAATTAAAAAGTTTGCAATTAAGGTGAAACCTTACAGAATTTCTTTAATTTTTGTACAAATTTTGATCCAAAACCTGAGATCTACCACATTTTTTTTAAATCTACCACATTTTTTTCCAGATTCTACCACACAGAATTTTTTTTAAGTCCGACCACTGCATTTCATCATGGTGAAATTATAAACAGGTGTATTAATAAAACAGTTTCTCGCTTTATTTTCTTGACATTCGGCAATCGTATAGAAATTTGTAAAGGCATAATTTAAAATAAGATAGCGTCAAATCTTTCTTCTCGCTCTTTTTATTTTAAACTTCTCACGTTTTTGGTAATCCTAAACAAATTTAAAAAAATTAAATACAGTGTTGCAAAGGAAAACTTGATAATATGACGAATAATGAAGAAAAGTATTTTTAAAATAAAAAATACGCACACTATTTAGAAAGTATTTGAAATACAAAAATAAAACAAAAAGTATTTAAGCATAAAATGTAAATAAGTATTTTTTATAAGTGTTTTAAATACATGCATTAGAAATACTAAGGGCCAGTTTTTCGGTGCCAGTTTAAACTTAGATTAAGTAAACTGAGTTTAAATTGAACAGCTGGCTGATATTTGATTGGCTGATCTTAGTTTAAACAACGGCCGTGAACTGAAAAACTGGCCCTTAAAATCTCTGACAACTAAATACATACCTATCGTCGTTTAATTACAAAACCGCATATCAACAAAATGCAAACCGCGTATCAAGATAATGCAAAACCGCGTATGTGAGGTTGCATTAACTATTTTCTAGAGTGCAAAAACACTCATATTTCAAAATGGTTCTCTTTTTTATATAGCAATAGCATTTCTGGCTATTATATTTCAGGGCGAATGGATAAGGATTGAGCCAAGAGCTTAGATATTCAGAGCTTGTGTGAGCAAATCCAATTTTTGGCAGCAAATGTCAGTTACGCGGTTTTGCAGAATGACGATACGCGGTTTTGTACTTTAAATGACGATATCCTTATGTAAGAGGGGTTATCCAAGAGAAGTTAGTGAAAATTTACGGACATTCGGACACCGCCTTCAAAACTCAAGATTACACGTTTGTCGGAAAATGCGAAAAACTATTTCGTAGCACATGAGAATAATATGAGTAAGGGAGACTTTACCTTATTTTTATACCTTTCATGAGCATGAAATGGTATTACAACTTTGGTCCGATGTTTGTAAGTACCAGAATAAGAAGAGATAGACCCATTAAAATGAAATGATCAGAACGTCGAGCAGAGTCGATTTAGCCATGTCTGTCTGTCCGTCTGTATGTCTGTCTGTCTGTCCGTCTGTTTGTATGCAATCTAGTCTCTCAGTTTTCGAGATATCCGGATGAAATTTGGTAGGTGGGTGTATTTTTATAATGTATTAATCATTTGTCGGAACCGGAAGAATCGGACCACTATAAAATATAGCTCCCATACAACTGATTGTTCAGATATGAGATTTTTCGTTATAACTTCTCCATTTATGCAGCTAGGAACATGAAATTTTGCAATACTTCCACCCATTATCAACAGAAAACTTGGAGTGAAAATTACAAAGATCGGGTCACTATAACATATAGCTCCCATACAACTTATTGTTCAGATATAAGATTTTTCGTTATAACTCCTCCATTTAGGTAGCTATGAACATGAAATTTGTCACTGTCGTCACTCATTATAAAAAGAATACTCTCAGTGAAAATAGCGAAGATCGGTTCGCTATAACCTGTAGCCTCCATACAACTGATTGTTCAGATATGAGATTTTTTGCGATAACTTCTCCATATATGCAGCTAGGACATGAAAATTCGCGCCGTTTTCACTCATTGTTAACAGAATACTTACAGTGAAAATAACAAAGATCGGGTTACTATAACATATATCTCCCATACAACTGATTGCTCAGTTATGAGAATTTTCGTTATAACTCCTCCACTTATGCAGCTGGGAACATGAAATTTCGCAATATTTCCACCCATTATTAAAAACATACTTACAGTGAAAATGGCGAAGGTCGGGTCGCTATAACCTATAGCCTCCATACAACTGATTGTTCAGATATGCAGTTTTACATTAAAAATGCTTTATTTGGACTGCTAACACAGATAAATTTCGTAAGCTATTCTATAAATAATAATAGAAAGTCTACTGAGAAAATCGTCAAAATCTACGCTGTATAAGCTTTATCTCTTATACCTCTGATTGTTCAGATACCAGTTATTACGATATATCTCCTTTATGTAGGAGTCTAAACCCATTAAATTGTGTTACTGGTTTACATACGATCACACAGCAGTGAAAATCACTTAGATTGGTGCTATATAAGGTATATCTTCCATACATCTGATTGTTTAGATATGGTTTTTCATATATGTATCTCCTCTATCTATGTATTCTGTAAATATACAATTTCTTTTTAAATGCAGTAATCTATTAAAGTAAAAATTTCAGATACTCATGAAAGGTATGAAGCCTTCGGCATAGCCGAAGACAGCGCTGCTCTTACTTGTTTTAAATAAATTATAACAAAAATTTACTCCAGCTTTTGCGCAAAGGTAAATTAGAGCTCTGTGTACATTTTCAGCGCATAATTTCAAAAATGCCAAATTTTGGGGTATGCCTTTTTTGAAGACGGTGTGCGATATATAGGTATTGTTTTTGATGATGAAACATTACTTTAATCCAAATCGGCTGTTGGTCATCTTCCCATTATGACTCCTCCAGCCGAATTCCCAAAAAGCGCGCAGACTCCTTTGCGCCTCTGACGACAGAGTGGCGAGGAATATAAGGCAGGCAGGCTAACAAGTAAGTAGACGGGTAGGTTAAAGTGATTTCTGGATCTGGCCTGCCCATGTAGGAGTTTAGCTTGCTGTACTTGACGGACTGGAGCTGGGCTAGTGTTGATATCGTCTTGCGAAGTAGTCGCATTTTGTCGGAGGAAGTTGAATAGAGGGGCATGTTACTGCTGAGGTAGTGATTGCAGATGCAAATTATTATAGCAGTGATTCTCAATTCAAGTGGTAGCAAAACCCCGTCAAGGAATGGTTAGTTCTGCGACAGCCAACAGGATCTATTTAAATAGAACCTGGTTGCTCTCCTTTACTAGAAACAATTCGGCTTCATCATGTAATTTTTGTAGTGGTGACATGAGATGACACACAATGGTGGTGCGGAGAGCTGAGTTTTGGCAGCAGTGTGTGAAGTATACCTGATAGCTATATAAGGGACACGAGAGGTGCCTAGCCTTTTCCCTTATCGCAATAGCGTAAACCATATAGAAAAGGGGGCTATCTAAAATAACACCCATCAAAGCTCCATCAAACTTTACGAACAATTCAAGCCTCACTTCTTTCGTCCAGGTGGTAAACAGAAGGGCCGTGGACTTTGGCGGTTGCCAAAAGGCAAGTTTTAGGCTACATTCCATGAGGAAGTGCTTAAAATCACAGAAGAAGCTATTTAAAAGTGTGTGGAGCAATGTTATATCCAGTAGATATAATAAAGCAGTCATTAGCGTATAAGACAATCGAAACTACATATCGACTGCTGAGTGGAAGATCGACCTATTTCGGCAGCCAGTTTGAAAATGCCCTATCTCAAAAATCTTTTCAAGAATGCCTTATTTCAGAATTCGTTTTAAAAACGCCCTATTCAGCTGCCGATTCCAAAACGCCCTATCTCATAAAATTTTCAATACATTTTGAAGTGAGATAGGACGTTTTTAAAACGAAGTCTGAGATAGGGTGTTTTTCAATAAAATTCTGAAATAGGGCGTTCTTGAAAAGTTTTTTGAGATAGGGCGTTTTCGAATTGGCTGCCGAGATAGGTCGATCTTCCACTCAGCAGTCGATATATGGTGCGGCTGGAGAAGTGTGGCGAGGTAAATGTTAAAAAGGCAGGGAGAGAGAACCCGCGTTGTGATACTAGCTGCTTTATTCTCTTTTGCTTTGAATTGTTGTCTCGAAATAAGCACAGATAGATAACGAACCATCCATCGGTTTGTACTA